CTGGGGAGGGGGCGCCGCGGGGCTGCGGTCCCTCTGCAGAGGGCTCCTTGCTCCGGCTGCGACCGTGACTTCCCGGCTCCCTGGGCGCCTGGCCCCGCGAGCGCCCCCCCGACCTCGGCAGCGGGGTCGGACAGGGACCCCGGCGCCCTCGGTAAGTGGAGGGCGAGGAGATTGCGGGAGAAGAGGGTGCGGGCCACTGTCCGGTCCGCTGACCGCCTGGGCGGTGGAGAGGGCGGGAGATCCGCTGGACACTGGGAACCCGGGCCCCCCGAGATGGCCGAGGTAAGAACCGGGAAGGCCGTCAGTCCAGGCATCTCAGCCAGCGCGACCCTGCTCAGCTCTGCCCACCTACCCTCTTCGGGTTACAGCCCGTCCTAGAAGCATGGGTTGCCGGTAGCCTTTTTCCTTCTTTACCCTTTTTTGGGGGAAATGTGATTTTGGGTTCCTGGCCATTATAATTGTGCAGATAGATTGAAGCTGGGTTATCTGCTCCACGCCCCTGGCACTTTCCGTTTTGAGTACTTTATGCTGCGCGCTGGCTCCTGCCACGAGGCGCACCGAGCCAGGAGAGACGCCTTCCTCCAGGAGGAAGCTTCGTCCACATCTGGCTCTGGGAGAGATTCGCTGGGTTGCGCTTTGCCTCTGTGCTTCTCTGCTCAAGGAAAAAGGGAAGGGGCATTTTCTGTGGCATTGGACTTATGATTCTCTCAGGAAATGATAACAGGGAGTTTAAGATTACTGAGGCGATAAAACTATCCCTGCAGGTTAAAGACGAATCGTTTGCAGTCTAACATTCTGCAAAGTTTTATTGTCTACAGGCTGCATTTTTCCCATTTCAGTTAGGTTTTTGTTTGAATATTTGTTTTATTTCTACAGTGTGGTAGACATTCAAGTGAGCTTCACAAACAGTTATTGTCTTTGGGCAATCCAGGTTAGTTTCAAATGATACGTTCCTAAACGTGATCTAATTACATCCTCTGGTTAATAAAAACTCTTAGGCACTGAGAACTCAAGAGAGGTGAGAAGACAAAGAGAGCTATAACCAGCTGTGGTTCTGGTGCTTACGGAAGCATCATATGAGGAGGGACACAGTAAAATGTTCGCATTTTAGCTCCATTCTTGTTCTAGGATGACTTTGTCTTTCTGTTAGAGGCATGGAGTATGTAGCAGCCAACCTAAGGGTATATTTACTTAGATCATAAACTGATTTTCAGAGTTCCAGTTCCTTCTGTGGTTCATAGAATCAAGAGCTACTGAAATAAACCTTCAACAAGGAAGGATTTACATAAAAACAGTACAAGGAAAGAGTCTCTTTGCTTATTTTAGGACATCCGTCAACTAAAATTCTTAGGAATTTTGGTAGATGATCACCTCATATCTCTGTTCATTGGTACCGTCATACCATTCTGTGGATTAATTTTAAAATATACCTGTATATTTATATATAACTAATCAGTTTGCCAATTGCATAGCCTATTAATGTATATTTGGCTTTCAAATTACTTCCAGAACCAAGAAAATAAAATATAAAGAATTTCAAAAGCTCGATTTTCAAATAGCAAGAATTCAGTCTAATCTTGGTTTAATTATGAGTTGATGGGCTTGTGTTATGGTTAAATGGCTGTTAAACAATTTTGTAAATTTTTGACTAGTGAATCTAGTGCAGATTAGCATCGCCAAGCAATTCATTTTTCTGACGAAACTCTTAAAGCCCAGTTTCAGAGCACAGGCTTCAGAAACAGGCAATCTTGGGTTGAATCTGAGCTCTGTTACCTACTAGCTGTGTAATCTCAGGCACATTGCTTAACCTCTCAAGCCCCAGTGTCTTCATCTGTTGATGGTGATACCACCACCTACTTACTTTGGAATGTTGTGGGGAGGACTAGAGATGTATGTAAAAGTGCTCAGCGCTTCCTAATACACAGGAGTTGCTCAATAAATGTCAGCTATTATTATCATTCACTCTGACTGACCTTCAACTCTGTGCTCATTGTGGAGAATGTCTGAACAGCAGGTACTTGGGGGAAAAATGTCAAGATTATACAAGTAAATTTAAGGGTGGAAAATGACAGTAATGTTAAATTTCCCAAGAGTATGTATGAAAAGTAGCACCTCGTTGGCGGAACATACGTTTTTAGAACAGAAGCCTTATGGTATAATGGGAAGAACACTGGAGAGTCAGAGTCTTCAGTTCTAACTCTGGCTGTGACCTTATCTAACTGGCTTTCGGCAGGCCAGTTGCCCACTCTGGAGCTCAGTTTCTCCATCGGGCTGGACTTGAATAATCTCTAAGATCCTTTGCAGCTTCAGAATTCGTTATTGCATGTAATAAAAATTACACTAGCTTGCTTATCACCCTCCCTTCACTGTTTTTGGTTTTTGTTTGCTAACTTGCAATTCAGAGTCATGAACAATTTATAGAGACAGCCCAACTAAAGAATTGAAAAAATAATATCAGATTTGTAGAGTAATCCAAAATGAAGTTTTAACAAAGAGAACAGAGCAAAATAGATTCACATTGAAATCTTTTTGATAGGGCAAATGTAAACCTCAATTTTATTCTCTACTCATTTCAGTAAGTTGTTTTATGGGAAACGTGCTTGGTAGAATCATATACATTCAACTGAAATAGTTTCTATAGAAAACAATGGGCTGATGGTGAAATAAAACACCATTCTCTTTTCTCTCATCAGGTTGATTCTTAAATAAAACAAAAATCTATCCAGTAAAGGGCGTTCGTGGAGAAATTACAATAGAGAAACCAGGCATTTGTATTCTGGAGAAACCTCCTAAAACAACTGTATGGAGTAAGACGAAAGAAGTGCATACATCTGGAAGAAATTTTGCTCAGTATGATATTTTTGCCCACCTTTTTGTCATAAAAGGCTGCTAAGGAAGAAAGAATATAGTTTTCTGGAGAAAGAAAGAGTGTAATGTAAAAATGGAGACAACAGTTTCTGAAATTCAAGTAGAAAGCAAGGATGAGAAGAAATCAGCAGAAGTTAGTCCTCAGGATGAGAGGCAGGAGGAAAAAGCATCAATGCTTTGCTTCAAGAGAAGAAAGAAAGCAGCCAAAGCAGTGAAGCCCAAAGCTGGCTCTGAAGCTGCTGACGTGGCAAGGAAGAGTCCCCTAGAAGGAGGAGCTTCTGATCAGCCACAACCCCCAGCGGGGGCCTGGGCCTCCATCAAACATCTTGTAACACGCAGGAAAAAGTCAGATTCTTCAAAGCAGCAAAAGCTCTCTGAGGCTAAAGTGCAACCTGAAATCAATGCTGAAGATGCTGATCCTTCTAAGAAAAAGAAAAAATCCAGATGTAAGATTCCCTGCATAAAATTCTCAAAAGGGGAGAAAAGAAGTAATCATTCCAAAATTATAGACGACTCAGACTGCAGCGTTCGAGTCCAGGGAGAGGCTGAAAGTTTGGATACAAAAACTCGGACCCAATCAGATGACCAGGCCGCAAAGACCAGGTCCACCCAGGATGTAAGTGACGATGTCTCACAGAAAGAGGTTGGTGAGGTCTGTGAATCAAATGTGAGCAACAGCATAATTTCTCCTGCACAGACAGTGGTTTCAGTAGAAGTTGGGTTAGATATGGGGCCTTCTGCTCTTCCAACAGGAACTCTAATCCTTGAAAAAGATATGGAAATGACTGAGGAAAAACAAAGTGTTCAACCCCAGCAGGCAAGCCCACTTGAAACTTTAGAAACAGAACATCCGCTACCAGTGGTTTCTGATGTTCCTCCCTCACCTGCAATCCCAGATCAACAAATTGTGGAAGAAGCCAGAAACAGTATCCTAGAAAGTGGACCAAATTGGAAAGACCATGAAAGTAGAGAGATTGTAGCTGAAGAGAGTAAGCCAAAAGATACTGAATTGAGCCAGGAATCAGATTTTAAAGAAAATGAGATCAATGCGGAGAAACCCAAACCAGAAGAAAGCAAAAGAATGGAGCCAATTGCTATTATTATTACAGACACTGAAATCAGTGAATTTGATGTTAAGAAATCTAAAAATGTCCCTAAGCAATTCTTAATATCAATTGAAAATGAGCAAGTAGGGGTTTTTGCTAATGACAGTGGTTTTGAAGGTAGAACTTCAGAACAATACGAAACACTCTTAATAGAAACAGCTTCTTCTCTTGTCAAGAATGCTATCCAGTTGTCTGTAGAACAGCTGGTCAATGAAATGGCCTCTGATGATAATAAAATAAACAATCTTCTACAGTGACTTAATTTCCAGATCATGGGAGGAAAAAAAGCTTAATGATGAATTATTTTACATATTTGTGGCATTTCTTATTCAGTAACAAATGAGAGATTTATCATCTGTGGAATTCAAAGGCACAATTCCAGCCCAGAAGTGCTAAAGAATTAATCAAGTAATAAAACCCTCCCTACCAGTGAAATGCAGTCACTTCTGGATTGGAGGGAAGTCAGTACAGACTGCAATGCAAGGTGACACACAGAGAGTTGCTAAAATGGCATGTGGAGATTGGGGTGCTGGGAGGAAGATGTATTTATTGAGCACTTACGGTATGCCATAAGCTCTTTGATATCCTCTGATGTCATAGAGCCTGGTTTCCTTTTGATAGTTCAACCCTCTGTATAGGTTAACATCGCATTCAGTTTTCCAAAAACCTTTTTTTTCACAGTGCACTTTTATGTTGTTTGAAATGGTGAATAAGGTGAGCTATTTTTGTGAATGTGTGATTTAGAGTTGTTAGACTCCTAGGCAGTAGTCTTACCTCAAAAAAATATTGCATTTCCCCAATTCCAGCAGAATATGCACATTTTAATTAAACATGAGTGGTTCTAGTCTTGCTCATGTCCCTTACAAAAGCCATTCACAAATTGCTTCAAACGGGCAAATAATTACCAAGTGCCAAGGTGTGGAAGGAGGGAGTGCATTTTCCCTCTCTATCTTTCTTCTGCCCCAAACAGATCTGTATAAATCCATTTCTGCAAAGGATCATCTGCTGAAAACTTAGAAACAAAAACCAAAACAACAGCAACAACAAAAACAAAAAGAATGGAATATTATTTTCCATCGAGGAGAAGGCAAACTCCCCAAGTAATAAATATTACTGATAACACAGGATTCATCTTTCGGGATGACTTCTGTAGAGACCATACTCATCAACCTCTCAAAGAGGAGGGGAAAGTGGATTCAAAGCCAGCCTGGCAGTAAAAGTCCTAGGAAATCATAATAATTTAGTGAAAATATTATTCATTCTTGACATAGAATGAGCCAAGGACACGGTTGTATAGAAAGTGAAAAGTTATTGCCAAAGCACGTTATACTTTAAATGTTAGTATTCTTTCACTGTGCCTGTATGTTGAGAGAAACCAGTAAAAAACATTTTACATGGATATTGAAAATTAACTTTTTCATCAGTATTTTCAATCCAGCAAATCCCTTACAAAAAATGAACTTAATATAATGAGAAGGGCTTATTTGCATTTTATTCAGTTATTTAAATCATCGATCTCATCAATGATTGCCATATTTTTTGAAACAGAAATTCGATTTCAATCTCTCGTGTGAAATGACCACACTACTACAACACACTCCCTACCTCACAGGCTAGGACTCATACTGTGTAGTCCCCCACTGTGTAAACTGAGTGACAGTGTGACTCGGAAAGTGGATGAAGTCACGAAGAGCTTTCACTAGAGGTGTAAGGTATTTGTTAAAGAGTTTTTGTACATCCTTGGAGAAAAGAATGTACCTTAAATGATTTTAAATGATTTGGTGACTTCTTGCATTATTTATAGATTGCATATAGAAAGTACATGCTAATTTGTCCTATAGAATCTTATTTCTTTCTGTAAGTACATATTGAGACCTCTGGCAGAAGAACCTAATCTGACTTTGGAAATGAACCAAATAATGGATATTATCAGCAAGATTCTTTGCTGAAGTGCAAAAGTATTCCCTCAGCTTTTCCTACCTTTGTGCTTATAACTTTGGCGGGGGAACCCATCAAACTCCTCCAATTTAGAAGATCAAAAGTGGATCTTTCAAAACACATGACCCAAGAAATCAATTTAAGAAATTTTAATTGTATAACTTTTAAACATTTTTTTTAAAAAGACTGCTAAGTCATCCTCCCTAAAAATACTTTTTAATTCACTATATGTGGTGCTAATGGACTTGGACAGCTACCAGCAAATATCATACCATATTTAAAAGTGAACAATTTTCTTGTCTTTGGTGAGGAAGATTTGCCCTGAGCTAACATCTGTTGCCAATCTTCCTCTTTTTGCTTGAGGAAGATTAGCCCTGAGCTAACATCTGTGCCAATCTTCCTCTATTTTGTATGTGGGTCAGCGCCTCAGGATGGCTGACAGTGGCGTAGGTCTGCACCCAGGATCTGAACCCATGAACCTGGGCAGCCGAAGCAGAGTGTGCCAAACTTAACCGCTATGGCACATGGCCCGCCCCTAAAAGTGAACAATTTTAATTAAAAACCTGATTAAAGTTGGTGCATTTTACAGTGTTTTGAAGAATCCTGCCTTTATTTACTGCAAGGATGGCTCAAGCCAATACACTTGCATTATAAGTTTTTAGTAATCTCTCATGTATGAGCAAAATGTACAGCACTTATCAGTTATTGAAAAAATTTTGAAAGGTTTAGGCAATTTATTTGGGAGTTTTAAAAACAGATACGAGGTAAATACGTGTAATGAATTTTTTTTTGTTAAGAAAGTAACATTTTATCTAACTAGTCCTAGGTTTCTACTTTTTTTCCCACTGTAGTTGGATATATTTTTGGTTAGAATGTATTATAACTGATTGATTTTTGTGATGTGTACTCTACTTGCATTCATCCTTAAGTGGTTGTTTTCTCCTCAGTCTTTTCTACTGAGACTATCTGGTGAATTAAATAAGTAGGATTCCAGTTTGAAAAAGGAATTGAGAAATTAACTGGTCTCAATCTGCTGCATGGCCAAAGCCTACTACAGGGAATTCTAAGGTGATCCAAATTGTTTTGTTGTTATAGAAATAATTAGGAATCAGATGATTTGGAAGTCTCTCATAAAATATTTTTTATTATAATGGCATTTATTTTACACATTTTGACCTGATATGCAAGACATTAAATGAATATAAAAAGGTTCTTATTTAATTCACATCGATTTGACAATATTTAAATGATCATTTAAAAGGCAATTTAATCACACCGAATTAATTTTCATTTAAATTTGCTGTGCTATAAATGCTGCTTTTAGTGACCATTTATTAATTAGCTGGGATTCAGTTTCTCTTTGAACTCAGAATTTTACAAGGCTGGGTGGTTTATCAGATGCTTTCTAATTATTTCAGCATATTATCTTCCCCTTTTAAGAGTCAAGTATTATTCACTTTGCTTTACAACCCAGCGAATTAGGAAAATCCTCCTCTATTTTATGTAGCACTATTCACTTAACATTTTCTCAAAGTACTTTATAGGATATAAAAATAGACCCGGTAACATTTAAGTAAAGGTAGCAGAAAACAAAAGAACTTTCAAACAGAAATTATGTTCCCTGCCACCTCCTCCACCCCAAAGAATAATAAGCATGTGGCACAAATGGAGTTCTTCAGAAAAGCTGTCTGCATAATCTTCTTTTTTTTTTTTTTAAGATTTTATTTATTTTTATTTTTTCCCCCCAAAGCCCCAGTAGATAGTTGTATGTCATAGCTGCACATCCTTCTAGTTGCTGTATGTGGGACTCGGCCTCAGGATGGACGGAGAAGTGGTGCCTCGATGCGCACCTGGGATCCGAACCCGGGCCACCAGCATTGCAGCGTGCACACTTAACCACCAAGCCACAGGGCCGGCCCTTGCATAATCTTCTTTCAAGGTAACCTATTTGACAGCATGAAGTTTGTGACGATCTTAATTGGTCTACTATTTAGTGGAGTCTTAGAAACTCTGATTTATTTCTGAGAGATTATGTTATTTCACAAATGTGTGTGAATAGCCTTCCTGCTAGAGGCTTTTAGAGACACGGGTCAAGAGAAGGCACCAGTCAGATCTGGCCACTGCATGCAATCTAGTTAACTTCATCTGTCAATTTCTCACTTCAAGTTGCCTTATTTTTTTATAGTTAAGAATTAATTTTGGGGGGATTTACAGCACAATTTTTAAAATAATTGTTAGGCTTTAGAATCCCATTGTTTGAAAAGATTCTCTTTATTTAAATATGTAAAGTCTACTTTCTAATTTCATCTGATACTCAGTATATCAGGGCTTGAGTTTTCTGCCTGCCATTTCTGTGTTTTTAAAAATCCTCATTTAAGGTTTAGAGCTCTTTAGGTTCAAATTCCTATGATGTTTTATTGTGCAACATGAAGTTTCTTATAAAAATTCAAAATTTCAATATATGGTACATTTTTGAACAAAATTTTTTGGTAATGATCCTTAGTTAAAATAATTTAACGGAAGCTACATAAAACTTAGATGTCCTGATTAAATTCAATTTGATTCAACATGTGTTGGGTATAACACATGCCAAACACTGTTTGATAAAGGGGACAGCCTCCCTGCCCTCCAAGAACTCAACCCAGGGAGCAGCAGCAACGGAAATTGGGATGGGGTAAGGCCGAGAGCCACAGGTAATGCAGCATTATAAGTGCCAGAGAGGGGAGAATAAAGAGAAAGGGATAAATTCTGTCTGATGTGGGAAGGTGGTCATATAAATACAGAGGCAGTTTGACAGCATTCAGTTTCTTAATAGTTAAACAGTATATTCGTTCTGATTTGTAAACAGGTGCAAAAAAATAGCCTGCACAATGTTACATATTTATAGTAGTTCTTTGTCTATAAAAATGTTAAGTGCATCATGAGCTATTATGAAAGTAAAAGTTCCATTTTGTATTTCTCATTAAAATTAGTACTATATTACTGTGGATCAGATGCTAATATTAAAGAAATAATACTCTGTAGAAAAAAAGATTTCAACCTGAATTAATATATATACTATTAACACAGAATAAATGTTGTATTGGCTTATGTTTATTTTATTTATCCAAATCTTTTAAGAGAAATGTGGTATATGACATTCATTTCCTAAAAATACAAAGATCACACTGATGAAACTACTGAGTTAGCATTACTGAAAGCTCTATCTGCTGATGGGGTGTTGGACAGACTTCACAGTGACATGCTTAAAGAGCCACCTCCAGCAAAGAGAAACACAAACACCTAGAACTTGAATTCAATTTCATTGAACTCTCTCCATCTAACAGGCAATTCTGATTTTGATGCCATCTATCAATCTGACAGAAGTGCACTTGTTCTCATCATCTCTTGCTATACTCACTGGTTGTCTTTTCTACATTATATTAAACTATGAATTGTTAATAATCTTTATGATTTTCTAAATAACTAAACGATTTTGATGTGAAAATGCTTAAATTATTCAGATGGTGCCTGCTAAAGCTGGGTGTTTTGAAAGTTCTGTGTTTACTAAGACACTGATTTTATTCCCCTAATGTTGACAACCCTGTTTTCTCTTAAGCACAGCTCAATGATAATAACTGGGCTCTATGAAAGAGTGTACTTTCCAATCTCGGGACCAATTTAAAGTTGATAGTGCCTTAAAAATCCTAAAACTAAACCTTGTTCCAATGCAAAATGTCTTAGTAATAGACAAACACTGTACTTAGGGTATTTAATATTTCACAATATGTAGACTTTTAAGACTTTTTATTAAATCATACCTTTCTAATGTAAAAGAAAGATACACTACCTTTTGCAAAACTTTTCCTCACAGGCAATTCTGCTAACCCAGTTTTAGGCCTACCTTTAATAGTCAAGTCTGGAGTCCCCAGCCCCTATGTGAGTACTTACTTTTCTTTTTTTCCCTGAAAGCTTGAGATCATTAGGGGTTAAGTTCCTGAGCTTAGGAAAGAGAGTGAGTATGTGTGTGTGTACATGAACACACTACACATCCTCAGAAAATCCTCAGCAAAGCTGGGCACAGGCACCAAGAACAATTCAGGAAAATCTAGGTGAGGGGAGGATAGTGCAGTGGCTCCTAGCCTGGAAAACTTTCAAACTGAAAATTTTCCCTAAATTCCAACCTATCATAATAGCACTGGCAGCAGTGTCCAGCAGTTTCTACACATTAGCAAGACAGACGCACTTTCTCCATCACTCACTTTGTGGCTAAACTCAAGTAGGACTTTCGCCTTATCTTGATCTTTAGGACAGTGCAATTAGAGGCAGGGATTGAGCCTATACACTTTTCACAGCTATACTTGTGACCACAAATGCAGGCCTCCCACCTCTGCACTGCTGGGAGGTAGGGAGCACAAGGTGACACAAAAGCAGGCGCAATCATTTGTACACTTGTACTCGAACCTTTTATTCCCAAATCCCTACTTCAACATTTGTACCTTATTAGGTCTGGTCTGTGGGTCTCTGGACCACATCTGTGATCAAGCACAGTCACAACTAATGCAGCTGCAGACGGGCATGCTTGAACCGATCAGATATCCTCATATATAAATTACAATGCAGGGGCCGGCCCCATGGCTTAGCGGTTAAGTGCGAGCGCTCCGCTACTGGCGGCCCGGGTTCGGATCCCGGGCGCGCACCGACGCATTGCTTGTCTGGCCACGCTGAGGTGGCATCCCACATACAGCAACTAGAAGGATGTGCAGCTATGACATACAACTATCTACGGGGGCTTTGGGAAGAAAAACGGAAAAAAAAGGAGGATTAGCAACAGATGTTAGCTCAGGGCTGGTCTTCCTCAGCAAAAAGAGGAGGATTGGCATGGATGTTAGGGCTGATCTTCCTCAAAAAAAAAAAAAAAATGACAATGCAGAGGTTCCACATGGAACAGACATTTGTGGCATAAAAACTTAGACTATCGCTTCTGTTTTTTAAACAGGTCATCCAACACTGGACATGTCCATCCTCCTGATCAGAACAAGTTAGAACTGTCCTTGTACTCTGTGTAAAGCTGAGACGTACAGAATGCCAAAACTGGTCACTACTCAATTCAGGAGAAAGAAGTCAACCTGATTTTCTGATCTTTTATCCAGATATGCCACAAACAGCCTTATCAGTAATTTCACTGATTTGAGTGAATTTGCTTAGAATAACCTTTTTAGTTTTATGGGTTTCCTAGATACCCTTAATGTCTGGCTGATCTGTTTTTTCTGACCTGTACTGAATAATAATCATTATGGTTCATTAAGCTCTAGGACTTTTCTATATTTATCTGGGTGGTTTTAATATTTTTTTTCCGTGAAGGTATAATTTACATACAGTAAAATTCACCCTTTTTAGTTCACAGTTCTACAAATTTTGACAAACTCATATAGTTGTGTCACCTAGGGAGTACTGATATTTCCTTATTCTGATTTCATTGTTCTTTTTATCACCTGTGTATTTTAGTTTAATTTCCTGGATGCATCAGTGAAAACTGCTCCTTGCTGCAGAAATTCAAAATAAGGGCTTCTTACATCCAACATTTAACCAGATAAGGAAGGCAGGGCTGTCATATGCAGCTGTGCAGTTTGCACAGAAGCTCTCATTTGGCAAGTGGCACCCCCAAGCATTTATTGTGCATAATCTGCATGGCCATACAGGTGGTGGCTCTGAATGTAGCCACCAGTCTGAGAGATCTGCAAAACAGGAGATGGTTAAAATAAAAAAAGGAGTCTTCCCTTTACATACCTTCCCTCCCACTCTTTAAAATACTGTGATAGAAAGAGAAGATAGTAACCACTGAGCTCACAGCACCAGACTTTGCACATATGTGAAAGTAGGGCAATGCTGGGAAATGAGAACTGGTCCAGTGAAAAACTTCTGAGACTCACTCTGCTGGAATCTTTGGTCTGCATTTTAAAACCTTTCCCCTTACATTTGCAAATGTTATACCCTTTTTCTAAAGAACCACCATAGATTCTTTAGATTTTCCTCCCTACAAGGCACTTATTACAAATGCCAGTTACCAATTTTTTTTTTTCCTGAGGAAGATTCACCCTGAGCTGATGTCTGCTGCCAATCTTCCTCTTTTTGTATGTGAGCTGCCACCACAGCATGGCCACTGACAGGCCATGGGGCTGGCCCCAAATTTTTTCAATTAGACACTTACCTACATATGGTTTGGACTATATGCCTTCTACTACAGAAAAATGTGGCAGCACTAAATTCACAGGATCTCATTCCTCCAAGGCTTGTTTGGTCCACACAAATCTAACATGGACCTTCTTGAAATTCAGTATAACACAGACCACCAAGGGGTGTCAACTACAGCTGGTGAGGGCCTCCTTCTCAGGCTTCCTTCCTGAACAAGCCTCTCCCCCAGTTCCCAGAACAGGGACCAGTCCAGTTGTGCAGAGAACCCTTCCCAGAACACTGCTATCCCTGCCGACTTCTGACATGAAAGGACACTATGGTTTTCTAATAGCTTAAGGGAAGATACTTTCTTTCCATTATTTTGATATAGTATCACCAAGTTTTTCAATGAAAAAAGTTTCAACACTGTATAAACACTGCAAGAGAATTTATTTTAGAGGAAGTGAGTCCATTCTTCAAGTTGGCTAATCAGCTGTAAAATAAATTTAAGGGAAGCATTTGGTGATGAGGTGCAAAGTCCTAGGATAACATTAACAATAATGGTGCAAGGAGTAATGACGGGGGGAAAAAGAGGGCAGACTGTATTCACTGTTGGAAGGCAAGAGGGGCTAAAGGTGAAAGAACTCTATTAAGATAAAGAAGGCCTCAGTTTGCTCAGAGAATGGAGATGAGGGGAGAAAGGAATAGAGAACACCAGCGTAGAAAGTCAGTTGTTGAACCATAGCTGAAAAAGAAAGTAAATTCCAGAAAATAATATACAGGCCAACCTCACATGTTGTGGATGTGAAGAAAAGAAACAAGAGGCAAGAAATAAGCAGTGTTTACTCAAATGTCCCTGGATTTATCTTTTTTTTTTTGTGAGGAAGATCAGCCCTGAGCTAAAATCCATGCCAATCCTTTTTTTTTTTTTTTTTTGCCAAGGAAGACTGGCCCTGAGCTAATATCCGTGCCCACCTTCCTCCACTTTATATGGGATGCCGCCACAGCATGGCCTGACAAGTGGTGCACGCCTGGGATCCGAACCTGGGCCACCAGCATCAGAGAACGTGCACTTAACCGCTACGCCACGGGGCCGGCACCCCTGGATTTATCTCTTGACTAGACAGAACATCCAAAACTGAGTTTGATGCCTGATTCGAAGAGCAAATGGGATTGGGACTAAAATTCCAAGGGCTTACTGTTTAAGACTTACAAGAATCCTCAGAAATACTCAATATAACAATCACAATAAATGTGATATTCTAAACAGTTATCTGCTGCTATAATATATTTACATGTAAATTGGAAGCATCTTGATCAGAGGGATGTCAAGATATGCAGTAACTAATATATTATGGAATTCTAGGAAAATTCTCATTAGTCATGACTCTATAAAGTAAAGCAAGATCCAGCAGTAGCTAAGTACTAAATAAATAGTGAATTAAATAGTGATGCCAAATTTGAGCTTAACGTAAAATAGATTTTTAAAATCTATTTTTAAGGTGGTACACTGGTGCCACCTTTTGGCCAGATTAAAAATTTACATAAATTACAACCTATGATCACATTTTAATTTCACAGAGACCTTCTTAGAAACACAATTATTTCAAACATTAATAGACTTAAAACTGTCTTGCTGCTTAATACATCTCTGATTTTTAATAATTACATTTTTTTTGTCTTTTAAAAGCTGAGATAAAGGATAATACAAATAGAACTTAATTCTGAGCTAACACATCTCATACTCCATAAGAACAGTATTAACTTCAAAGATAACTGGGACAGAAATCCCCAAATTTAAGTTTCTTTGTATGCTTTAGCTCTTGACAACCATCACAAAACTTATTTTAAGGTTTTATTTTTTTTTTATAATTTTATTTATTTATTTTTTTCCCCCAAAGCCCCAGTAGATAGTTGTAGGTCATAGCTGCACATCCTTCTAGTTGCTGTATGTGGGACGCAGCCTCAACATGGCCGAAGAAGTGGTGCATTGGTGCGTGCCCTGGATCCCAACCCGGGTCGCCAGCAGCGGAGCGCGCGCACTTAACTGCTAAGCCACGGGGCCGGCCCTTATTTTAAGGTTTTAGACCAGGGTTAGTCAACCTCGGCACTACTGACATTTTGGGCCAAATAACTGCAATGTGAGATGTTTAGCAGCATCCCTGGGCTCTACTCACTAGATGCCAGTAGCAATCTTTCCCTACTCCCACCCAGTGTGACAACCAAAAACATCTCCACATTGCCAGATGTCCCCACGATGAGGGGGATCACCCCGTATGCTGGTTAACTTTATGTGTCAACTTAACTGAGCCACAAGGTGCCCAGATATTTGGTCAAACATGATTCTGAGTGTGTCTGTGAGGGTGTTTTTGGATGAGATTAACATTTGAATCAGTAGAATGAGGAAAACAGACTGTCCTCTCTAATATGAGTGGCCCTCATCCAGTCAGTTGAAGGCCTGGAAATGAATAAAAGGGCTGACCCTTCTGAGAGTGAGAGGAACTTTGCCCGCCTGACTATTGAGCTGGGAACTGGT